TAGCGCTCTACCACTTGAGCCACAGCGCCACTTCCGGCTTTTTTCTTTTTGCTTATGTGGTGCTGAGGAATCGAACCCAGGGCCTCTGGCATGCAAGGCATGCGCTCTACCACTGAGCCACCTTCCCAGCCCCCCAAATGAGTTCTTTAAGCTGGGAAATGCAGAAATGGTGACATAAAACTATAGCAACACAGATTATTATTTTCTGAGACACTTGAGCCATAACACCACTTCCAGCCTTTTCTGAGTAGTTTATAGAGGTAAGAGCCTTATGGACTTTACTGCTTGGCTTGCTGGAGTTGAACAGTGATCCTCAGATCTCAGCCATCTGAATAGCTAGGAGGAACTAGGATTATAGGAGTGATCCACTAGTGCCCTGCTCTGAGAAGTTTTTATGTTATTGTCAAAGTGATGTACAGAAGGGTTACAGTTACATAAGTCAGGTAATGAGTACATTTCCCAAGAAGTTTTTGATAAGCAAAAACCTGTTATGCTTAGATTGAAAAAGCAGCTAATACAGGCACATATACATGTATACACATCCCTTTTTATATATAAAGTTAAAAATTCATATTTGTCTGAATTCAGACTTGAAGCAGTATCTTCCATTGTTTAGGGGGTCACAGCTTTACACTGAAGGAGGTGCCGGTAACCATGAGAAACTTTTAGTAACTTTGAGGCTATGTTCTTTCCACATACTTCACTTTATCCATTCTGTTCAGAGTTGTCTGTATCCATTACTTTTTTGTCTTCTCTCAACATAAATTCTTTAGTGTTGATAAATGAATGCAGTGACTTGAGAAGCTTAAAGTTATTAAAAATAATAGTAAGGAAGGACTGGATCTGTGGTACGAAAGGTGGAGAGTGTCTGCCTCGCAAGTGCAAGGCCCTGAGTTCAAACACACTATTGCCACAAAAAAGTCATAAACACATTTAATTTCTCCCTAAGTTTTAAGAAGTTCAGCATTTGGGGAGAAAGGTTATAGTTTTCTCCTGAAAGGTGATTTTCGATTTTTTAATTAAGTATATATTTTTTATTGTAAAGATACTGTACAGAGGAGTTAGTTACATGAATAAGGTAATGAGTACATTTCCTATCAAGCATTGTTACCCCCTCCTTTGTTTTTCCCCTACCATCCCTTCCTGCCCCACCTCTTCCCTCCCCTCTCCTCCAGGTTGTAAAGTTTGTTTTCAACATAGTGTCTTGTACATCTCATTGCTACAATGGGTCAACCTGTATCCTTATTTCAGCATTTTGTTATTTCCCTTCCCCTCCCCAAATTAGAAAAATGTATATACAAGATGCAGGGCACTGGAATCAAATACAGTGAAAACAGGGGTTATACCATGGGGGAAGAACATACTAAAGAAACAAAAAAAATCACTTAGTACATTATAAGTACATTAAAAACAACAGCAAGAAGCTGGGCACTGGTGGCTTACGCTTGTAATCCTAGCTACCGAGGAGGCTGAGATCTGAGGATCACAGTTCAAAGCCAGCCCAGGCTAGAAAGTCCATAAGCTTCTTATCTCCAGTTAAGCACCAGAAAACTGGAAGTGGTGCTGTGGCTCAAGTGGTAGAGTGCTAGCCTTGAGCTGAAGAGCTGAGGAACAGTGCCCAGGCCCAGAGTTCAAGACCCACGACCCACAAAATAAATAAACTAATTAATTAAATTTAAAAAAACCCAGCAATAAAGATAAAACCTTGTGCCCTATCTTGGGATTCATTTCACTTTGCATCATCTTATCTGGTCATATGTACATAGCTTTTGACCTTTTCTGCTTGTCCTAGACTTACTAGTTATTGCAAATAATGGAAGCCATGGGACCTATGTTCCTTTGGGCCTGGCTTACTTCACTTCATATAATTTTTTCCAAGTCTTCCCATTTCCTAACAAATGTGATGGTGTCATTCTTTCTGATGGAGGCATAGAATTCCATTGTATAATGTGTGTGTGAATATATATATATATATATATATATATATATATAGGTGAATATATATATGTATATATGTATACATCTATCACATTTTCTTGATCCATTCATCTATTGAAGGGCATCTGGGTTGATTCCATAATGATTTGCGATTTGATTGCTTATTTTCTAAGTCTGCAAGCTGATCTTAGTGTAGAGGATTAACCCACCCTGCAGGGGTTTTAGGTTTGACTGTATGGAAGGGTGTGTGAAGTAGCAGAGTGGGGAGGGAGAAAGGAGCAGAGTGAGCTGGGAAAGGCAGTGTGTCCTGGCATCAGCACCTGAAGGTGGTGGCACTGTATGGACAGTTCAATACTTGGCGCACAGAGGAGGTGGGAAGAGTGAGGGACTGAGTGATCTTGGTTTTGAGAACAGCAGGGATATTTCATTCCAGGAGTTGTCCCTGTTACTTTGACCAACCCACCCTCTCTAGCTGTGTGCCCAAATGATTTATCTTCCCACTTGGAGACATTTTCTGGATTATTCTGATCTTGCTTTCCTGGACATTGAATTCATTTTGGTAGAATTGCCTGACACAGGCATGTATGTGTGTGTGTGCTATTGCATCAGGATTCTAGTGATAGAAATTTTAACAGTCTTCAGCAGCATCCCCTCATTACCAGGTAATCTGGTATGGATTTGTTCTGTCTTACATTGATCTGAACATGTCTCACCATCTCTGAGTTAGGATATCTTGCCTAGCCAATAGCATCTTACAGTTGCACTTGGCAGGCCGTGGTTGTGACAGGCCATCATTTCCTGTACATTCATGAACTTCATCATGTCTGTTCTTATTGCCACTTCACTTGAGATGGATCCACTTCTGGTGCTGCATGTACTGTTTTTCAAATGTTCTCCGAAAAAGAGCACTGTCATTTGGCATTTAAAAAAGTTTCTCATGCTCGTAATCCTAGCTACTCAGGAGGCTGAGAGCTGAGGATTGTGGTTCAAAGCCAGCCAACTCTGTAAGACACTTATCTCCAAATAAAGACTATTCAAAAAAGCTAGAGGTGCTGTGGCTCAAGTGGTGGAGAGAGCTTGCCTTGAGCAAAAGAAGCTCAAGGACAGCACCTAGGCCCAGAGTTGAAGCCCCAGGACCAGCCCCATCCCTCCAAAAAGTTCTGTAGAACACAGAGAGGTATGAACACAGAAAAGAGGAAAATAAATTTATTAGTCTGTGTTTTCCTGCAAAGTAACAATTAGATGTTTACAGCCTTTTTTAAAAAGAGGATATCTACAACTAAATGGAGCTCTATTTTTTTTCCCTTACTGAGAGATGACCAAAATAATTTCTTTTAACATCAAACTTCATCTGAAGGTAGAAAAGCTGCCAACTCCTCTGACTAGATGAAATAAATTTCAGCTCATCAAGAGGCTGGTATGGGGACTGGGAGAATGGCTCAGTGGTAGAGTGCTTGCCTTGCATGCATGAGGCCCTGAGTTCAATTCCTCAGCACCACATAAGCAGAAAAAGCCGCAAGTGGTGCTGTGGCTCAAGTGGTAGAGTGCTATTCTTGAGCTGAAGAGCTGAGGGACAGCACCTGGGCCCAGAGTTCAGGCCCCACAACTGGCAAAAAAAAAAAAAAAGAGGCTGGTATGATCGATCCCCATGTAATAAAAAATTATAATTATAGTCAATTCAGTTATTGAGTTAGTTTAATTGGCTGTTTTTCTTAGTAGAAAAAAAATAAGGTGTACCTTACAAAGTTGATCTTACACATACATCTTATATTGCATGATTTATACCACCCATTGAGTGTGGTTTAGTGTAACCAGGTCTATAGTAATGATCTCACTAGCATCAACTAGATTGAGCAAAATTATAGAGGCCTACAAGTGAGGCTTTGTTTTTATTGGGACTATGCGTTAATAAATGAATCTTTAGAGAGAAGTGACAAGTAGCTCTACAATTTTCTGTTTTAAAAAGGATTTGTTAGCAGTGCTTGCTGCCTACCTGCCTGCTGTAGGAAAGCCCCCTGCTCTTCACTTTTGCCATGGCTAAAGGCTTATGATGTATTTGGTCTTGTCCCTACGTGGTACATGGGCAGCATGGAAGGCTGCCTGGCTTAGAGTCTTAGAGCTGTTGGTGCAGCTACTTCCCTGATGTTTACCAGTCTAGCAGTTGCTCTCTGTCTGGACCTCTGATACCACTTT